GTGGCCTGCCTGATCCTACTCAGCCTCAAGGGCTTTGGAGTGACTTCTGGCTGGGCCTGGGCCTCCGCGGGTCGGGTTTGGGGTGAAGGCTGCATCACCGAGGTCAGGCTGGAGGGAGCGAGGTGCTGGGGGCTGGGCCTGCTTCCAAGGAGAAGCACCACTGCAGCTCCTCTGGGAGCAGGGTTTGGAGGATCATGGGTTTCCACCCCTCCCTGACTTACACCAGACTTTTTTCAGAGAAGATGAAAACAACCAGGCCCACCATCTAGAAATGAAACCAGATTTGGATCTCCTGAGAGATCAGAACAGAGTGTAAAATGAAAGGTAGGGGACCTTGGCACAGGCTGGGGTGCCCACCTCAGAGGTCACCATCCTGAATTGGGCCTCACAGTGGAGAGAGACAGGCCAGGCAGAGCCAAGGGTGGATCTCCTTCCTAACTCCTATCTCTCTGGAGCTGTGAGTCGGACGGATTTTTATCTTGCTTATTTTGACCTTCCATGAGGCAACAGCTGGAGGTGGGGAAAAGAACAGAGCAACAAGCACCCTGGTTCTTCTTTTGGCCCCTTTAGCAACTTCCTGTAGTTTTTGAGCAAGACAGGTATAATCCAAGGCCTTGAGGTGCGCAGTCCCAGCATATGCCGTGGCCCCAAGATCATCTAGAAGTTGAGCCTAGTCATGGGCAAATTGACTGCCTGGGGGGAAAGGGTGGATGTTAAATATGCTGCCTTGGCCGGGCCCTTCAGTCATTCAGCAGCTAATTTTGGGCACCTGCTTTGTGCCTTGCACAGTGAGGAGCCTTCGAGCTCACGTCTCCTTCATACTCCACTCCTTTCCCCTTTGTCACACAGCAAGGCCCACCTTTCACCAGCGAGGACACGGCACCACGGGAGAAAGCCACAGACTTGGCTTTTGTCTCTGAGTGAAGTGTGTGGCAAATTCAAATGTATCTGCTACAGAGTCTTTCCTCAAGTAATTCTGGGTGCTTTCCAAACTTAGCAATTCCCTAAA